TGCAAGTATTGTTGGTCTTTTATGACAAGAAGCATACCAGCAAGTGAATCAAGAAAGGTCTGCATGTGACCAACATGAGGATTTCTGTAGAATGGGATTCAATCTCCCGAGTGAATGCTCACTTATTCTCAAGACAGAATCATGTATCCCCAATAAGGGCGTACTCTCTCCCAGACATAAATCCTTATCTCCATTAAAAGTATGTCTGTGCGTAATCCCCACTGAAGTCAGTACTCTCAATGAGAGTTTGTTTAAGAGTTTGTCCCTCCCATAAGACTTATCTCTGAATAAATGCATTTCAATAAGTTTTATATAAACTTCTTCTTCAGCATAGTCGACTCAGCTTCGATAAATCCTGAAAAGATCATTTCATTGGATTGTAGACCTTTGTTATATCCTCTCGAAGTCAGTACCATATATCTCCGTGGTAGGTATTTATATCCCTAGGGAGGTTGCTGGTCATCGTCTCTCTGAAGTTCGTATCTTTTCTCCCTAGGGAAGTTTTGCCCAAGTCAGGTTTTCTTGAAGAGATGTTTGATTAACATGTTTGTTATGCCCAGCAGAGCAGGTCTCCTATATTTTTTCTGGGGCAGAGTACATTGACAAATGCCGTTTAAAATTCTTTTATCCCAGTGATGGGATATGGATGAAATATTTCCTCGGTAGAGTTCCAAACCTCAAGCTTATGGTTCAAAGATGACCTTCTCTTCCTCAAGTGAAGATTGTTACCCTCGACAGTAGTATCCTCTGTGTGGCCTGGGTAGATTCATTTTATTGAAAGAAAAAAAAAACAAAAAAAAAACAAAAAAAATTTGCGATTCCCCAATCAAAGTCACTTCTATCGAAGACTTACATCGGAAGGTCCCAATTCCCAGCAAGATTCTCTTTATCCTTGGAAAGAGATGTTGGATTTTTCCTTAAGAAGTTGGGAGTTGGATCAGAGTTCGAAAATTTCCCTGAACTGCAATTTATTTTTGCAGTATTTTCCCCAGTGAAGCGAGTTTTCATTCCCTAATGGAGCATGCTTTCTAGAACAAGTGTCATCTTCTCCCCATTATGGTGCACATGGGAGCACCAATTTTAACTCCTTCATCCCGGAATATGAAAGATTTTGTTGAGATGTCAGCGGTGGAGTTTCTGTCCTAGGATGTTTTGGTTCTTCCCCAAGTGAAGATTTTTATCCCCCGGCGTTGTTATCCCCAGTGTGGTCTGAGTAAAATTCTATTTATTTAAGAATTTCTATACTCCCCAGTAGAAGCTATCTTCGTAAAGAAGTTCTGCGCAAGAGAAAGCTTCCATCCCCAGCGAAGCTCTCCCCGTTCTAACAGAAGATAAAGTATCTATCCCCTAGGAATTTGGAAGTTTGATCAGAATTCAAGATTTTCTCTCAAACTGCAATTTATTTTTTGCAGTATTACTACCCAGGAAGTTATTTCTTCAATGTTATCAATCGTTCGAGGTTGATGGTTTCGAATCTCGATTTCCTACTGAAGTTCATATTGCATGTTCTCTACAGAAGATTAGATGTGCAAGAATAATCATTTGAAAGTTCATTGTCTTCCCAACATCTGATTATTGACGTGGTCTCCCCAGTGCATTACTAAACATGCATCATTACATTGCATCATCACATCGCATCTACTAAAATGCATATCATTTCCATTGCATGGAGCATTATGCTATAAAAAATTCAAACATGCATAAGTATAAGCCAATTATGTCCACTTGTGGTAACCAGATTGTTATGCGCTCAGATTTGATTTATCTCCATAACAAGCCTAAGGGTGACTCTATTATGTTTCCCCAGCGGGGTTTGTTTTGATTCACCATCAGTCGGGTCTTTGGTATTTCTCCATCTCCCCAGTAAGTTTGTGGTTTGCGCTTGCCTTTGCAAACCTTTGGTTATTTTACCCGTGTTCGCTTTGCTGTTAGAGTGCGAGTAAGAGTCGGTGTATAGCCTTTCTTATTTCTCAAGTATTTGAGTGTCCATACTTGGTGTGTAGTAATTCAGATGATTGCCACTCTTGAAGAATTATACCCCGCCTTTGGCCTGAGGGGTTTTTTAGTTCTTGCGTATTTGCAACCTATCGAAAGCCTAACATGTTTTTCTTTGTTAGAGTCTGCTTGGACCAGTCCCTTTCTCTTGCAGAATTCACATTCGATCGGTGCTCTTTGAAGGTCCTGCTTAGTCGGTTCCTTGTTTTGGTTTATCCACGTTAGTCGGGTCCTCCTTTCGTTAGCCTAGATAATCTTTTATGTTAAGAGTCTTTCAGTGTCTCTTCAAAGTCTAGTTGTCTAGCATCCTTATTTAGGCGAATGCGCCCTTTTTATTGGGGCTTTCTTCGGTTAGTCTCGTTCCTGTGTTCACTAGCAATTCTAAACATTTGTTTCTTGATGATCAACTTCGCTCTTGTGTATCTAACTCTGACCAGACATGCATACCTGTATCTTTCAAAACCCTGCTTCGGCTGGTATCTTTTGTCAAAGTCCCGCTTCGGATGGTGTCATTTCTTTTAAATCCACCTTCGATTGACATCATTTGTCCAGAGTCCCATTCGTTTGGTCTCCTTCCTCAGTAAGTCCGCCTTCGATTGGTGTTTCTTTGCAAGAGCTTTCTTCGGTCTGTCTCTTTCGTACGTATCCGATACCAACCACGGATATGTATTTTCGATACCTGTTTCATATGTCTGCTACCAACCTCAGACATATGTTCTATGTATCTTTGATATCTCTTTTGTGCGTATCTGATACCGACCACGGATATGTATCTTTGATATCTCTTTTGTGCGTATCCGATACCGACCACGGATATGTATATTTGATATCTCTTTTGTGTGTATCTGATACCGACCACGGATATGTATCTTTGATGTCTCTTTTGTGCGTATCCAATACCGACCATGGATGTGTATCTTTGATATCTCTCTTGTGCGTATCTGATGCCGACCACGGATATGTATCTTTTCTATATCTTTTCTGCATCCGCTACCAACCCCGGATATGTGTCTCTGATATTTTTTTCGTATGTCTACTACAGGCTTCAGGCATATATCTTTTGATACCTTTCTTACAGGTGTTTGTTACTAAATCCCAACAGATGTTCCTTGATAACCAAGTTATTCTGCTGTGTATCAAGCTCTGGTTAAACATATATCTAACCCCGATAGCCCATGTAATCCAAAAAGCAAAATAATATAATAAAAATAGATTCCGAAAAAGAAAAATAATAATACCTGACTAACTCCGGAGCGCAAATTTTTGGGTCCTTTTAAGTATTTAATCTTCTTCCACCTTGAAAGTTCGAAAGGCTGGCGCCAATCTCACCTTCAGGTTGAAGACGATTAAATAGGGGCAGCTGTTGCACCCCAAAATTTGCCCTCCTAATTTCGTTTATTTTGGCTTAAGCTTTTGCATTCATCTGCATCTTTTTCATTAGGTCACTAACATGGCATACATTTCATTTAATATAGCTCTGAGGTTCAAAGTTCAGTGGTTGTGCGATACTAGGGTTTCATAGTGGTTAAGGCGCTCATATACAATAAAGGACTTCCTCTCCCTCAAGCAGCAAGGCTATTATCTTCTGATAAACAACCGATTGTAGGTCATTCTGGTCAAGAACTCTAGGACGTGACCTAGCATATGTGGGCTTCGAATCATGACGTCCTTTCCTATAAGTATGCTTGTCATTTGATTAGGATTAATGACTGTGACATGACAATCGTCTACTCCTCAGTTAATTAAATTAGGTTTTGTTCAATCATGGTTCAAAGATGTTTTATCCGGATATTTCTCTGTGCGTCTGAACGAGGAATCAAGATTGTGAGGGTTTCACATCAAGGGAATTCTTCTGTGATTCAGACTTTATCATCCATCTGTAAGATGTTCCTTGTGACACTAATCTCAAGTTGAAATAACCGATCGCTAAGGGCTGAGGATTGAATTATGAAGCGTGGTTCATGACCTAAGATATGAATTCATAGATTTCTCCTTAACCAAGGCCATCATTGTTCTCATCATTGTCATTTGTTATCTGCGATGTGAGTAGGTTTGGATTGAATCGTAGGATGAGGCATGATGCAAAAGGGCAAGGTTGTGAATTTTTTAGGATCAAGATCTTATTGGCTATTCAAATTATTTGTCATTCAAGATTGAAGTTAGAAGTTCATTGAGAATGCAAGTTTGATTTGGATTTGAAGTTTGATTTGAGTTCAAGATGTTCGAAAGTATTTGGTTGAATTAAAGTCGGCAAAGAGCCTTAAGTATTGGTCATATGGCTTTCTTGGAAGGTAAAATACAGACTGCAAGGTCTTATTTCAAGTCGGAGTTCATCCACATTATAAAGATGTTCATCGTTATTTCAGATTCAAGTTCACAATGCGTTCAAACATTTATTCAAGAAAATACTATCCAATTCCATTCAATTTCATTCTCATTCATAGTTCAAGAAAATACTATCCAATTCCATTCAATTTCATTCAATTGTAACAACACCCCACAAGAAAATTTGATACTTTCATGTCTTCAAGCATTTTTCAAGACTTTGTCATTTAAACTCCGTCCTTAAAATTCATCACCCAACATTTCAAGCTCAAAGGTCATTTACAATTCACACTATAAATTTCAATTTCATCCAAACCAAACATTCATTATAAAATCATTACAATCTCATTACACCAATATTCTACAAAGAAAAAAAAACTGTTACAAAATACACTTGAACAAAATTCTTTAGTCCTAAAGGTGCTAAAATTCCATGAGTAAGCTTCTAATTCCATGCCATGCCAAAGTTCTTCATCTTCAGTTCATGACCTGCACATTCATACAAAAAAAAATCCAAGTCAATACAAGAAATCATGCCAAAATATCCTATGTTCATACAAATTACTCGACACATGAAAAACCATTAATTAACCCAAACCAAATGCTAAACACATATATGGAACAACCTGCATACCTTAACTTTGACAGATGCTTCTGTGGTGGGTGAGAAGGAGGCTATTATGTTGCCTCGTGAAGATCCGGGTTCGTGTTCAACTCAGCTTTTGAATGTGAAACAAGAACCTTATGAACAGAGAGGACCAAATCTACCTTCTACGCCAGTAGATCTTTCTTTTCATATAGGTCTTACTGGTGCAGAATCAGTTAGGAACATTCCAGCTTCTTCAAGAGTGGAGGCCGGTGATCATAGTTTGGAAAGTTCGGAGGTTCGTCCTCCTCTTAAACCACAACCTTCCGGCACTATTAAGGCTAAGAGCGAGGATAATCATGAGAAGTTAGGTGGCTGTTCCACTTCTAATGTAGCAGATAATGCAAGAGCTATTAATGGAAATGTCTCGTGTTGTCCAAACAATTACCGTCAGAAAGGTCCTCGTATTGCAAAGGTTGTATGTCGTATCAACTGCAACGTTGAGCCTTTGGAATTTGGAATTGTATTTTCTGGAAAGTCCAGGTGCAGCAGTCAGGCTATTTTTCCAAAGGGATTTAGAATCCGTGTTCGATATATAAATATCTTAGATCCGTGCAGTACATGCTACTATATTTCAGAAATTCTTGATGCTGGACGCGGTTCTCCTTTATTTATGGTTTCCTTGGAAAATAGTCCAAATGAGGTCTTCATTCGTATGTCCGCAATAAAATGCTGGGATCTGGTTAGAGAAGTTGTGAGTCTTTTAGATAAGCAAATACAAGAAATGAAGTTAATGACAAATGCGATAAGAAGATTGGAAGGGCAAGAAGATCTCCGAGCCAGTCAAACAAGTTCGAAGCGACTGGTTGTGAATGGCAAGGCAGACTATGACTTGCATTCAGAGAGATCATTATCCCCGCCTGCATCTGTTGAACCATCAGGTCCTCCTCATCCAAAATCATATATGGAGATAATGGCCATGGTCCAAAGAGGGGAGAAGCCTTCTAACATCAGAGAGATCAATGATTTACCCCCCCAACCCAAGTCAACAGCCATCTGATCCTCGCATATTGCCTAGATCTAAGCCTTGGGAGATTGGTCAGGTTCAAAACACGTCTAGCCAACTGTTTCAGCCTCAAGCATACGGTGAGGAATTGTATACCAAAGTCCAAGATACTACCCAATCAAATGGGGATGACCCATCCCCCTGGTGGCAGAAGAAAAAATGTCAGAATCAGGGAGATTGATGAAAATGTGTCTAATGGAGCACCTAATGGCACCACGCCCAGTCAGCAGCCCCTACAACGTGTGTGGGTTCCTCCTCAACCTCCACCAATATCTATGGCAGAAGCTGCAGAAGCAATCAGACGCCCAAATCTAACTATTCAAAAAAAAAGGGATCATAACAAACTTAACAGTAGCCTAACAAGATTACTAACTGACTTATAGTTTAACAAACTTAGTTCCAACTTATGTCCTAACAGTTTTATAACTTCCTAATTAATCCTCTAACCAACCTCCCAACAGAATTAACAGAATTTTTTTAACTTCATCCTAACAAACTCTAACTAACTCCTAACTTCCTAAACCATGACCAACTTTGAGCCCTCTATATAATGGAAATTCAGAGATTGCACAAGAGGAGGAGATATCATCATTTAATTCAGAACCATAGAGGATATTCAACACAGAAAAAAAGAATGATTTACCTCTCAATCATCTCATTCTGGAACGGGCAGAAGAATCACCACAAAAACCAGGAAAAGCTCTCTCATCTCATCTCATCTTCATCCTCATTCTTCAACTTCCAAAAGAATCAATAAAAATACCTGAACAAATATCTCTATCTCTCTGCAATCTTCTTGGATCCTTTCTCCATAACTGTCCCTCAATCGCATCTTCACAGTTCTTCAGTCATCATCTCACAACTTCAACCTCCACCATTTTCTCCGAACCTTACTCACATCACTCCATCGCCAATACTCCCCATTCTCTTCTTCAACACAAAAAAACATCATCATCTTTGTTCTCTACACTACAACATGCAACAATAATGAATTCAAAAAACACAAAAGAGAAAAGTTGAATAGAAGAAGATGATCAACGCCACAACAACGCAGAGCACACAGAGAAACAGAAGAAGAATAATAAAGTGAAGAATTCACCTCTGGTTTTCTTGGAATACCAGCATCGCTGAAGAACCACCGGAATCCTTTGGTAAGTAATCTTGGGAACTCATTCGATCTTTGATCTCCTCATATCTCTGTATAGCCTAGAGTATGTAGATTCAAAATCGCGGCGAATTCGTACACGGCCTTGTCCATCTTTTTGCACTTAGGTTTAGATTCAGTTTTACTGAAGAGATATGGAATAAGAACACGGGAGAGACGAAGAGAAGAGAAGCAGGGATATGATGTGGTGTTGTCCGGCGGTTCTGATGCTGAAAAGAGCGATGCCATGGTTGCGAGGTTGAGAGAACGACGCAGTGATGAGAAGAAGAGAGTGAGACGGAGCAACTCAGGCGAAGGTCGGCGGCACCGCTGCTGTTCACAAGTGGAGAAGAAGAGAACACCTCTCTCTTTTACCCTAACCCCTTTTTCAACTTTCCTATATTTTATTTTTTAGTTTTAATTGTTTTTTTGTTTTATTTTTTCTTTTTGAATCATATTATTACATGTTTTATTTTTTTTATTATCATTTCAACAAACAAATATAATAATATGATTAATAATAAAATTAAGAATGATTAATATGGGCCAAACTAATCAATTCTTGGACTATGATTATTTTTATTTTTCTTGCTGATTGTGTCCATTTTTGATGGGGCCTAATGTCATTGTATTTTTTGCAGCACATAGTGAATTTAGTTCGCACCTCCTGAGATCTTATTTCCCATACTCATTTCGATTGCGATTAATTTTGGCGATTTATTTTCTTTGGCAATATTGGTAAATAAAAGAGACTTGAGTGAGGAGTTTCATGAAGTTTCAAAGCTAGCTAAGAGCATAATTTTCAATCATTCGCTCAAGGAAGCTTTGATAGAATTCTCTTATGGCTTGCATGGTTATGAAGAGGCGACAGACCTTCCCCGTTCGGTATCGTCACAACTCTATTTTTACTCCTGCACTTTACTACTTTCTAGGTAGAATTCCCTCAAGATTCTAACTTTAGGTCTAATACACGATAACATTAGATTAAAAAATAGGCTAGTCTTCCTGTGACTTTCGTCTTCCTGTGACTTTCGTCTTCCTGTTACTTTCGTCTTCCTGTGACTTTCGTCTTCCTGTGACTTTCGTCTTCCTGTGACTTTCGTTTTCCTGTGACTTTCGTCTTCCTGTGACTTTCTTCTTCCTGTGACTTTCGTCTTCCTGTGACTTTTATCTTCCTGTGACTTTCGTCTTCCTGTGACTTTCGTCTTCCTGTGACTTTCGTGTTCCTGTGACTTTCGTCTTCCTGTGACTTTCGTCTTCCTGTGACTTTCGTCTTCCTGTGACTTTCTTTCCTCCTTTGCATATGCAATTAAAACAAAAACTTATTTTTCCTTTCAAAATTCAAAACACAAAAAACTATTGATGAGAATCATGCTTTTGCTTAGTACGAGAAATGATAAGCGGGTCTCTTCTCGATCTTATTGTTCTTCATCTCAAGCATAGGTGTGGTTCAATTCTCAAAGACTCCTTTCATGGCTAAGTAGAAAAAATGGCTAATATCTCTCTCTTGAGGTCAATCAGTCATCATCTACAACAAAAATACAAAACAAAATCAAATCTTTCATGCGCTCGAGCACCTTTCGTTAGAAAAAACCTTTTCAGATAAGGACACAATTAATTTACTTCTGTTCCAACGCATAAGTCTCCAAAGGTCGAGTTGCGGCAGAAGGCGGAATTAACTTCGTCCACAAAAAACATCTATAACAAAATATAAACCAACTCAAATCTTTTGTGCGCTCGAGCACCTTTTCTTTTAAACTCTTTGCAGGAAAGGACGTGATTAATTTACTTCTGTGCCAACGCATAAGTCTCCAAAGGTCGAGCTGCGGCAGAAGGCGGAATTAACTTCGTCCAAAAAAAACACAAAACAAACAAAAACATATGAGCTGAACTACGGTAGCTCTGATTCCTCAAAACGGATACGTAGGCATTGGGGTAGGGCCCAAGTGAGCATAATTTTATTTTCCCTACATTCTTTTCTCCTTTCTTTTGCATGCATTCCCTTCAGTAGTATAGTAGACAGTAAGCATAGATGAAACACACCCATAAGATAGATAACGAGAGTGGATACCGTAGAGTACTACGGGCGTGTGGGGTGCTAATACCTTCCCCTCGCGTAACAGACTCCCTTACCCGATCTCTCGGTCGCAAGACCGTGACTTCTCCCTTCTCAGGTTTTCTCGATGTTTACCTTTCCCTACATGTGGGATAAAAGACGTTCGATGGCGACTTCATTGTTTGATGATTTTCAGCCGGTTGTTTCAGCTGGCGACTCCACTAGGGACAGGTAGACCAAATGCTGGTCCATCCCGGAGTCACTCCTAGCTCTTGCTTTCTTTTCTTTGGGTGTCTATTTTTATGCTTTCAGTTTACTCATTTGTACATGTTTTCCTGAGCATAAGTTTGCATTGCATTTTATTGCTTTCCCTATTTGTTATCTATTATGCTAGACTCTGTTTTCCATGTTGGGTGGGGATGTTACTATTGAGGTAAAAGGCCCAGTACCCAGGCCAGAGTGCACTAGGACACCTAGGAATATAGTGGGGGCATGACGGCTATAGGACATGGTCCGATTAGTGCAGTCATGTCATATACCACGCTCGGAGGAGGTTCAATTGAAAGTACTTTCATCGTGCACGTCTGTGTTGCGATGATTTTACTTTCAGGCGGACCCGTGATTTTCGAGTTACCATTATCTCACCCTGACCTAGTCTTCACACGTGAATGGGGAGGGATTTATCATTACAGGTACAGTTGGTGACTATGTTCAAATGGTTACGCGTGCTAAGTTGGTGACTATGTTCTGATAGTGACTGTTGTTCTGTTGGTGACTATATGGGTCTCAGATTTTTTTTTTCTGGATTCGGTATTCAGGATGGTTATCTAGTTATGTTCCGGACCTTTGATCCTGATATATTTTACTTGGTCAGAGATTATACAACCGTTAATCATGGTACTTAGTTCCATTGTATGCTGAATTTGGTTCTGAACCTTTGATCCTGTGATATCCATATTATTCAGCAGATTTATACAGCAGTTATCCAGAGGATTGTACAATTGTTATGCTGAACTTTTGAACTTATGTCATTGCACCTTGCATCATAACATGTTTATTTTACACAAAAAAAGGAAAGGTGAAAGATTATAAAATGAAAATGTTTGAACATGGAATTGCATACGCTCATTCACCTCATGCATCCATAGCAGGTACTCCGAAGGTATTCATAAATGGGGAATCCTTATTCAGACTCAGTATTTTCTTTTCAGAGCTGCAAATCTTGACTTCTCGTCGCTTCGTGGTCAGATTCAAGATATGGAACAACTTCGTGGGGAATTGGACGAGATGAAAGAACAGATGGGATTCGTGGTACTAGACATGCAGGATTTGGTCCGTGGACAAGAACTCCTGAAAGAAGAGAACACTCAGTTGAAGACTCAATTGAATTTGGTTATGGAAATTTTGGGGACAATGTTGAAGAAAGAAGATGTTTCTATGCCTGCCACAAAAGGAGTTACCATTCCTCCCCATAACCTGAGGACTCTTGTAGGTCAGGGAGTATCTCCTCCACAACCGTGCATTCCAGGATCCTCCCATCCGCAACAAGTTGTCACTTCCCGAGAAGACCCAAAAAGAAAAGTCCGTCAGCAGAGGCCAAAATAGCCTGAACGAAAATTTGATCCTATTCCAATGTTGTATGCACAATTGCTTCCTCCCCTGCTAGAATTACATTTGGTTAAACTCCGAATTTTCACTACACATGAAAAACTCCCTCATGGCTTTGACGAAAATGCTAGGTGCGATTTTCATTCTAGGACACCTGGTCATGATACTGAAGATTGCGTAGCTTTT